GTGATGTGGCAGTATGAGAGATTTGTGATATGAGATTTTAACTTCAACACATTGATGTTATCTTTGATAACCCAGTAAACAGTACTTCTACACCAAATCAGTGTTTTGTCTTATTTAAACTTGTGGGAAGGTCAATGTGCAGAATAGTGCTTTAGAACTTCAATGATGGAAATTTTTCCAATATGACAATACAAGATTAATGAAAAAATATCTTCTTTTAGCTCACCTGCTGGATGGGCAAGTTAGGTTATACTGTGACACAGCCTTTCTCTGTCCTCAACTGTTCTCTTGATCAATTTCTTCTCAACAACCAAAAAACTCAGAATACTGACATTGGGCTGTTAACATGATAGGAGAAGGAGCTCTTAAGTTTGATCAAATGAATGACCTTTACCATTTTTAAAGGTCACGAATGTCAAATGTGTTCATATATTTACATAACTTTTTAATAGTAAACAAACCTATGATCATTACACTTGGCCAGTAGCATGCTTGGATGAAGAGCCACCACGTTTGTCCAAATGAATGACCTTGATCCACTTTCATCTTGTTTTACTTAATAACCAAAACGATAGGGTTATGATATTTGTGTAAACCTACGCTAAGGAAGAGGGCTTTCAGAGTTACACAAATGAACTGAACTGACCAAGTCTTTTTCAGCTGCAGAAGTGATTGAATCAGGCCAATTTTGCCTCGTTTCGGTTTAATTTGCTATTTGTAAAGAGCCATACTGAAATGTTCATGAGTTGCTAACATTTTTCGTTGAAATAACTAGAGGCCCACAATATTGATGCTGTAAGTATGTTGTGGATATAGATCTTGTAACAAGGAGCAAGTCCTAATACTTCCAATTTCTTAATACTGTTAAAACACGTTACTTTTGATGGGTTCTCTTCTCATAAATGAAGTCACAAAATAATGACATCTTGAAAACAAAAACAAAGCAATTATAATTTGTTTAAAATAATACATTAATTATCGACCTTTTAATGAAACTGCAAAAATATGAACCATAAGGAAAACAACTTTACAGTAAATAAGAGGCTTAACGTCGCCATATTTGGGCAGCAACGTGTCGGGGTAGAGAACAGGAGTTTTCAGAGGATTTTTGTTATGATCAGACAAGTATAGTTGGAGTTCTATTTGAATCCATTCTGAACCTCGCTGTTGACAAGAGAAATGATGATTGATAAACAAGGCCATTATGTGCCCACTAGATAAACCACAAAAGACAATTTCTACATAATAGCTTTATTGAGAAATGTATAATCTACAATTATCCTGGCATGATCTATTCTAACAGTATTCCATGTTAGATCACACAAATAAAAACATTAAGGTTATGTCATGTATACCCTAGCCTCCTCACCACACAAATTTACTCTCTGTTGACAAACAGTATTGACACTATTTTCTCTCCGAGTAGAATTGCTTAAAATTAAATTGAATATCAAAAGTCTTAACTGAAATTCATTTTGCATGAAAAAATGACTTGTGCACTTGAATTGATGCATAAAATTTGTTTAAAATTCTTATTTTTTGTTTTTAATGTTACTCATTTGACTATAAAAAAAGACGTGTGGATCAGAGTTAGTTTTTTTGTTTTTTTTTAACTTCACATAACAATGCAAGCCATACAACGTATATATTAAATTTTTTGTATCTATCACAGATAATTTGTTAGGATTTTAACCACAGACTAATTCTTACACAGCAAGAAAATCTTTTATTAACAAGTGCACTATACTATGATCTAAATTTCTAAAAAAAATATACTAATTATAAATTTATTTTATTTTTTGTTAAAAAAATTCTTTAAATCTTATTTGTCTTCAGTGTAAATTGTCAAAATAATTTAGTTTTTCTTTAAGTCACTTGTTCCTTTAGAGTTATCTCCCTTGTTTCCGTTTAGACTATGCCATTATCTTCCTTTGTTTCTCTTTATTATAAAGTACCCCTTTGCCATTTCTCACAAATACAATTACCAGGTACTGAGTTAAAGTTATCTCCCTTGTTTTTTCTTAACATTTAGTTATCACCATCGTTTCTTTTTGGCTATAGAGTGATCTCCCCTGTTTATTTTGCTAATATCACTGATCACCCTTGTTTCTCTTATTACTTTATCGTTATCTCCATTTTTTTCTCCAACAACTTTATAATTATCTCTCTTCTTTCTCTGACTGCTATATGGTTATCTCCCCTTTTTTCTGCTTACAAAATGTAAAATAACACAGAAGTTTCCACACATCAGTATTCTTGATACTTTACAGTACCTAAAATTGAGCAATCTTCTTTATCACAATATTGTAGTTACAAAGGATGTTTCCTTATTAAACGTGTAAACTGTAAGGCATCACCTATGGTTGTACACTGGCATTATTTAGAGATGTAATCAAGGGGGGAAAATGAAAGAAAGAAAAAATGAAATTCATCTTTAAAAGTGGTACTGAAGCTCATATGCAAATTACAATTTTTTACATTAAACTATATTTTGAAAAATGTGAATAAATCTGAAATGAAATACACTGTAACAGTATAATTTTAGATTTAGTCTATTAAATATCCTAAGGAGATTTGTTTCCTTGATTAACAGAATACAGAGGTATGCTATTACCACTAGTGGTTATCAAATAAATTTGATTAGCAAATTAAAATACAAGCTACTTCTGGAATGTGCATCAGGCCTATAGCAATATCAAATGGACATACATATGTACATATATTTATACAGAAAAAAAATGCAACACATTAAAAAGCTCATGAGTATGTATTAACTAAATACAAATTTGATCGTTAGTTATCTACTTATCAAAAAACAGGTAACCACATGCTTACAGCGAAAGTATGTCAAAATCAGGTATCATGTCAACAAAACCTGGTGTCCTTACAAACATCCATACCTTGACTCCTGCCCTGCCCCCTGATAATCAAATAAAATTATAAAACAATAATGTAAATTCAGTTTCAGAAAACTGCTATTTTAACTCGTACAATTATTTCATAATGTAAAATAAACCCTGTCTGAGACAATATTCCACAAAGCTTTTTATTTTTTCTGCAAAAAAAAAAAAAAAAAAAATTGAAAAATAAAAATTTAACGCTCTGATTTTACTATGAACTTAAAGCCCTGACATCTGAAGACAAAATTTCTTACACGTATTGATTTCCTGGAAGTAAGCAATGGGTATCATTTAGAATGAAATGTAGTCATATTTTAAATGTTTGAATGTTTTGCTCAATGTAATTAATTCACTTATTTTTTCCTACTCTTCTGATTATTATATTAACTAGATAAAAATAAAAACATTACTCAATATAGGATTATCATTTCAGTCAACTTAAGTAATTATTTTAACTGATCAAAGATACATATGGTAATCTAATACACATTTATCATGAAAAAAATAATCTCTTACTACCACAATCCTCGACAACTATCAGCACTTACACATCAATCAGTAGACTGGTGAAAACTACAAAAACACAGGTCAGAAAGCATTTACCAGTCTGAGGTTGGCTACATTTATTATTTACTAACTTGAAAAAAAAAACTATATACAAAAGTTGCCAAAAGTTCCTTTTACCATCCCATAAAACTTTTTCACACAGTGTTGAATTTGTCTTGAAATGATAAAAACATACATCTCAAGTTTCACCTCAAACTTGGCTTTCATTATTTTCACCTTGTGGGTGAAATTGGTGAAAGTGAAATTGCAAGGAAAGTTTCCTTGTATAAGGTAATTAGGTACACATAAACTCAATAGTCTTCTATATCTTTTTCAAGACAGTTTGGCCCCATACATCATCATAATCCAACCTAAGTTTAACTCAGATCTGTGCTGATTTTCTAAGGCAAAACATCTAAAGTGACCTTTCCGCATATTCTTGTATAAACATCTGAATTCTGACGGCAGTTATCACCAGCAAAGTAAACAAATCATAGTAAATAATGTTAAGAAAAAAATATGAGATTGACTGAAAAAAACCAAATGTACATCTTAAAGGCAATGTTAACAAAAATTATATACAACATAATAAAAACATTTGATTTTGTTAATATATTGGTATCCATATTTAGGCTTTGTTACGATCTACCCTACGACACAGTAAAAGCTTGGTGTACTATTAATAATCATCAAGAAAAATGAAAATTACAGAAATTGGACGGATGTTTCATTAAGATCATGTCATGTCATATCATAAAAACAAATTAAAATATGATTTTCATTTAAAAAGATATGATTTGTGTATATATATCCATGTATATTGTAGAAAGGTTATCACAGAAAAGCAATCAGCATGAATGTTATTCTGACAAACTGTAATGTACATAAGCCCTGCCTTTCTCATGTGAGAAATAGTATCTTACACTTCAGTTTTTTAAATTTTAATAGACCTCATTAAAATTGACTTAAATAAGGTTAACAGCAGTTTCAAACATTTTTGTCCCCTTTTGCCACAATAGGAAGATTACACGAGGCTTGTGAGCCAATTCAAAATTTATGGACGTAGTTGTCTCCCTTTGAGAACCAGTCCTTCATCACAGACTTTTGAGGCTTCTATAGATATCACTGTTTGCATGTTAAATATGGACGGAAGAGTTAGAAAATAGATGTATTGATATAATAAACCAAACATTTATTAATATAATATTATTTGAACATCTTAACATGAAAATAGAAGTTAAACATTTCAGTATCTATACAACAGAGGTTACAGCTAATAGTTTCATATATAATGCTAATTCTGAAAGAGAGGTCTAAAAGTTCAAGTTTTCTAAAAGTTCATGAGTTTATAAATTTTGGTAAATAAGAAAAGAAAACTTGCCTGTGTGTATAAATAGCACACAATGCAAAATGATCTTTTAAAATAAAGAAACACTAAGAAAGAGATAAGTTATATCAGATATGTCTACCAAAATATCCTAAAAAGGCACCAAATACTTTATCCGAGGTTGTTACCGATAGATATAAGTCACTCTAGCAATATAGGTCAGTCTATCAGGCCATCTGCTGCCTCTTTTTGTGAGCCTCATTACTCAAACCAAGAAACTTTTTAATATCACTACGGACATCATCAGGAATATTATTCCCTGGGAAAATAGTGACCTCTAAAATACTTGGGTTATCTTTTACAAGGTCTCTCAACATTTTTCCACCTTTTGCAGTGATACCAACATCCTCAAGTTCCAGAGTCTGTAGCGTTTGATTTGTTCGGAGTCCCTCAACAATGGCTTCGATCCCTTCATCTCCAATGTTGTTGAAATCTAAGGACAATGTCTGTAGTGTTTTGTTTTTCTTAAGAGCTATTCCAAGTTTTTTCCATCCCTCCAAACCCACAGCCTTATTGCCATTGAGATTTAAGGTTCTTAACGTCGTGTTCTTTTCAAGGAAGGTCGCGACCTTACTCATGCCATTGTCTCCCATGCTTGTGTCTCCGAGGTCCAGCTCTCGTAGGTTGATCTCGCCTTTATCATCATCATCACCATCAGCTATGTCCAAGAGGCCCATTAGTAAATTTTTCACTCCTTTGTCACCAAGTGGGTTACCATGGACACTGTTATGATAATAATGGATATTTTATAAGTGTTATCACCACCTTATTCTGTAAGAAGCCCATACCAGGAAATAAGCCCACATCATATTTACTGCTGTTTGGTAAAATTTCTAGCAAATGTTTTTTTAATTGTCCTGTAATAAGCCCACCCATATTTACTGACGTTTGGTAAAAGTTTTAGCAAATATTCTTTCAATTGTCCTGCCTACCCATATCTATTGCTATTCAGTAAAAGTTCTGACAAATTTTTGTGCCATTATCCTGTAATAAGCACATCACTGTATTGGAAGCCATGAGCTTATTGAATGATATCTTTATTTTAATGATACTAAACTGTATTCACACTGAATTTTAAATGTCGTTCTTTATCTTACTTAATAAATGTATACCAATTTATCAGCATCTTTAAAGTTCATAGTGCATGGAAAATGTCAATGTAAAGTGCTTTCATTCAGGGCTAAAATAAAAAATAGAGAAGTGAGAGATTGAGAGATGGTTATGATCATTTGAGGAGTGAGAGACAGTTTAGATCACTTGAGGAGTGAGAGATGGTTTAGATCACTTGAGGAGTGAGAGATGGTTTAGATCACATGAGAAGTGAGAGACGGTTAAGATCACTTGAGGAGTGAGAGACAGTTTAGATCCCTTGAGGAGTGAGAGACAGTTTAGATCACTTGAGAAGTGAGAGATGGTTTAGATCACATGAGAAGTGTTTAGATCACTTGAGAAGTGAGAGATGGTTTAGATCACTTGAGAAGTGAGAGATGGTTTAGATCACTTGAGGAGTGAGAGACTGTTTAGATCACTTGAGGAGTGAGAGACAGTTTAGATCACTTGAGAAGTGAGAGATGGTTTAGATCACTTGAGGAGTGAGAGATGGTTTAGATCACTTGAGAAGTGAGAGATGGTTTAGATCACTTGAGAAGTGAGAGATGGTTTAGATCACTTGAGGAGTGAGAGATGGTTTAGATCACTTTAGATCACTTAAAAAAGAGAAATTATTTCAGTTACTTACAGTAATATTTCTATAGAAGATTTCTCCCCCAATAAATCAGCTAGATCAGCAGCCGCAGAGTCTCCAAGCTTGTTCAGGTTCAAGTTCAGCATCTGGTGCGAACAATAAAACGGTCGTTAAAGAAAAGTTTTATTTAGGCAAAAATATCATAAAATAATGCCACTAAAGAAATTTCTCATCACAAAATGGACTCGAATGTGAGAATCTACATCTGTTATATTGTTTATGTCATCTAAAATCTTACTAAGAATTCAAGTCCTTGTGATATATGTTGGACTCGCTGTTTTACTGCTAAGTCGATAAAGGGACACCATTTTGTTATGACATCACAATTACTTTGATATACAGGTGGGTCAGGAAATCACATGATATTGGTTTATTAGAACTGTGTTATGTGACAAAACATTAACTGGTCAGAAGTCGAGACAAACCTTTACGTCTGATTCTGTGCTCTCAATGCTATCAACCACTTTGTCAAACTTGTCATCATCAATACCACAGTTCCTCAAACAAATAGACTTGATGCTTTTTGATTTCTCAATGTAGGAACCCAGCTCTTTCACCTGTCAATGGATACAAGCTATAGTCAATACGACGTTTGTGCTACATAATATGGATGGTTATACAAGACACACAAAACTCCATACAGGGGAAGAGAGGGTTATACAAGACACACAAAACTCCATACAGGGGAAGAGAGGGTTATACAAGACACACAAAACTCCATACAGGGGAAGACTTTGTCTACTGTTTACAGAGGGTCATACAAGACAAAACACACAAATGAATAACACTTTTCTATACAATTATAGAGTAAGGTACAGTTGAGCCAAATAATGAATTAAACCATATCATACAGATGTTCCATCCTTCTAGGACTCATCAGTAATGTTAATTAAAGCCTGAATTTTAAACCTTAGTGGTGACAGAGGAAAATCAAAACTGACTGAAGGAAATGTCAAAATTAGGAGGTGCACTAGCCACATAATTCAATAAATTTCGTAATTTTTTTACATTTGAGGAAAAAATATGTACATAATACTTAGTATAGTAAAATGATTTTTGTAATATTTACAATTAAATTTCAGCATAACCGAATGAATTTTTTTATTTTTGTTTTGTTTTGCATAATGTATAGTGAATATTCTCTATTTGATTGCAATCTCACAATGTATACATTATTGAATTCAATTGTTATTTTCTTTGTAAAGGACTCTCAGTCTTGAAAATAATTACACCGTTAGATTGCTGTGTACCTGTTCTGTGGTTAGTGCTATAGCACTCAGCTCTATGTCTGTCTCCCCGACAACTTTAGGTAGAATGCTGCCCTCTAGTGGTTGTCCAGGTTTTACACCGATCTTAGACAGGTACGCTGATTTGATGGGACCAGTGTCTGTCACACCGTCGGGATCATTACCTGAAAAAATAACATGTGAAAGGTAATTACCATATTTGTCATGCAAGATACCAAGGGCACCAAGACCAAAGTTTGGGAGTGGGCTTATTACCTAGACACTGCAATAGCATTGGTCTTGTTAAATTGATATGGGTGGGCTTATTACCAAATATGGACCTATAGCTCTATATATATGGTACCACCTGCTTGTAGGTAAGGACTGTTACAAAACAAGCTTCATCAGGATTAGAGTTTCTTCACACCTGTTTCAGAGAAAAAATTCACTTACACATAAGTCAAAACTTTCAACTGCAGCGCTAGTATTTTCACTGCTTTGTCAAAAATTTAAAAAAATAACTTTATACGGAAAGTATTATGCAATAAGTCCAGGGATTGGCTCATCGACAAATAAAAGTTTAGCTTATTGTAGAACAATAAAGCAGCAGTTTTGGTAATCCTTGTGAACAGTTAGAGATAAGACAGAGCTTATTGTTACGTGTGGGTAGTATCAGTACTATAGAGACTTTTCCCTACTCTCTTGGAAACAGCCTTTTATCCCACTTTGTGAAAAACAGTGATCATTTGGGAAGGAATTTTTAAGGAGTAACAATTTTTTGCCATATTTTGACATAAACTGAAATGGAAATGGGGCCATTTTTCAGTGCAACAGCCTACCCTCCCTTCCCCCCTCCCCCCACCCCCCGAAAAAAATAGCCAGACTTTGACTTCACAACCAACAAAATTTGAAAGAAGCAAATTCCTCTTTTTTAAAATGAGATATGGCAATTAAGGGTATTGATTATCTAATTAAAAAATCTGAATTCTGATAAAGTGCCTTTGATTTGTACATACCACCATGCATATTGTCTGTGTCAGTTCCACTGCCGAACACATTGAACTTGGTGCCATCACTCTCGCTAACCACATGAGGAGCATCACTGTCTGTCAAGGCAAAATTGGCTTTGGGAGGGTCTAGTTTTGTGGAATCTGATATCAAAAATAGAATCATTGATAGTGCAAAGTATAACAGACATAAAAACAATTTCAAATAAGTCAGTCTCCATATTAAATGTGTTCAAAATAGATAGTTTACTTCATTCCATAATACAACCATATAGACATATCTAATGAATATAGATCAGCTAATTAATTAATTAATTTTCTTCATTCTAAATTTTACACATATTCTTATTTCAATGACTAAACATCCAAGGTTGTTTTTATTCCTAAATCAAGAACACCATGCAGACAAGACCCAATAATTCAGCCCTAAAGTTCTGATAGAGGGTGAGGGTGGGGGTGGGGGTGTTTTGTCGTTTATTTTTGAGAACACAAGGAGATATACCTTCTGATTTAGTTCCGTATTTCATCCATGGAGTGTCATCCCTTGATTCAAGTTTGAGGCTTACTATTTGTGACTTGTCTGATCTTTTTTCTTTTTTCTTGAGATTTGCACAGTTTCTGATAGTTATTGTCAGTGAGTAAGTAAAAGCAAGGTTTCTAGCTAGTGAAAGGTTACATATATTAGAGTGAGCTTCAGTTAGTGATAGTGAACTTTTTGAAATAGAAAGCAGTATTAGATAATCTATCTTTACAATATGTAGGAAGAGTGAGCCCCATTTAGAGACAACTGGTAAAATTGAACATTTTTTCAAAATAAAAGAAGGAGTGATCTCCCTTTAGTAGCTAAAGACAAGAGTGATGTCCCTTTTGCAGATAGTGGCCCGAGTGAGCTCCCATGTGTAGCTATGGGTGAGCTCCATAACAACAATTATTTTCAATGTATCAAATAAATAATAATCATGCCATGTGAGAATTAAATTAGACTTAAGAGCTTCATGCCAAAATGCTGACGTTTGCATTAGAAAAAACAATACTTTATTATGTGTTTGAGCAGTTGTTGGAATGTGTATTAACAATTTGTAGGTTTATTGTTGTTGGCAAGGCAACGGATTGCTAAATTCATTGTTATGAGAATCTAATATTATACATAATCGGCTCAATATCGGATGTTTTTAGATCCACCACAATAGAGGAAATATGACTGTTAGTAAAACCTTATCTCCATTTCTAGCTTTTTGTGTTGATCCATATAAAAATACCAGTGAACGAACAACTTGACATTATCTAATTCGGTTTTCAATGGAACATTTCAACAATTTGATAAACACATAATTACCTATCACATCAAAATATTTCTTTGAAGCCTTTTTCCAATTGTTATCAAGATAGCAAAAGCAGCCAATTACAAAATAATGGTAATTTTAACAGCATGAAATTAAAAGTATAAACAGAAGCCATGCATCCTGATCTATTTATACAAAAATGTCCCATACATTGTTTACTTGTTTACTTCAATATGATACAAGGACCAATTTTCCTATTTTCTTAAAAATTTCTGAAGATATCTTACTTAATTTTCGTCACCTAAACCTCTTTAATTTTCCAAACACATCACTGAACCAAAGTTGAAAGTGTATCAAGATTTCACAACAGTACACTCAGATATTTGGATATAACCAAATGCTTTTTTGTGTTATCATATGTTAAATTGATATGACAGAAGTCCCTTTTTCCTGCATGCAGTTTAATACAGTAAAATTACAAAGTTTTCCATGAACTAAAGTGGTTAAGACTGGCTATGCATAAATAAAAGAAAATTATCTTTAAAGCAAAAATGTGATGTGATAATGTTACGGTCTAGTTGAAGAAATTTGGGCTTCGTTTGAAAACAGCTGGGTCAAGTTTGCCTGTGGAGAAAATAGTATTAAATGTTATGAATTATTAGGCACCTCATCAGTGGACATATAGTACTGCTTGTGATTATGTTTTTCCATTTTCTTGGTTTTTTCCCTTAATATATAGCTTTATAATTATCAGGTGACAAAGTAACACTTCATCAGGAAATGTATAAATATTTAATAGATCATTCTCAGGTCCAGAGAGATTTTTTTACATTGTTTCCCATTAAATCTTCTTCTTATAGGCATTAAACCCCATCATTTATATTTTATATAATATAGTTAAATTATATAAAAAAAAAAAGTCAGAAATGAGTTGGGGAAAAAATGGAAAAAATCCTTTTATCTTTTCCCCTTCAACCATATTCTGTTAGCAAACTGCTGTATTACAGACTTAAATGGAAAAACGTAAGGAAAAAAAAGACGAAAGCATGTTAGTATTCATTGTTCAATAGAAAGGAAGGCTGTAACAGTTAGACAGTAGAAAGACAATTTTAAGTAACAAATTGTGGGTGGACACAATGTAAGGTCTGTTCTGAAACATTGGCTGGATAATGTACAACACAAACATTTAGAGCTACAGTTCCTTAAATAGCTTAGGTCAAGTTAAAAATCAAGATTAATATCAAACAACCGCAAATGTTAAGCCCCTAACTCTATGATTTTAGATTTGGTACTTGGCTTTGATTAATTTTAGTTTTTAAAAGCAAACAGTTTTATAACATATTAAAGAAAAGAGAAATTAAAATTCACTTCATGACACACAAGTCATGCTTACATATGGCAGTAAATTAATAATTTTTTTAAACATCATTCATATCTGTATATAACCACTGTGTGGTGTTTTTAACAGACTGTGATATCAAAATGGCTGCTTAAAATCTATACACGGAGGTTAAAATACTCAATAATTTCTCTCGGTACTTTGATGTCAAAATACCTGCTTTCATTACTCTCAGTAATTTGACATCAAATACTTGCATTCAGATCTCACAGTACTGATGTCAAAATACTTGCTTTCAGTACTCTCAGTACTTTGACATCAAATACTTGCATTCAGATCTCTCAGTACTGATGTCAAAATACTTGCTCTCAGTACTCTCAATAACTTGATGTCAATAGACTTTTTCCAGCTAATGATAATCCCAATACTTAGATACTATAATAAACATTTGATTTGTATGTTGTCACTAAATGATAACCTGACTACTTAGAGGTAACCATAGTGAATCCACAAACAACTTTAAAGTATCAAAGTATCCAAGATGTTGATCAATTACAGAGAAAAAGGCATAAAGGGCAGGATTTCTAAAAGCTAGCAATTACAAGCACAACAGAGCAAAATTTCTCAAACAGTCAAAATCAGAGAAATTCGGAAGTTGCAGAGAAAATGATACGATTCAATCTTCATGAAAACACCCCAAAAACAAACAAAAATTTTAATGGATATGATATGCCCGTTTGAAAAAAAAAAAAACGCATTACAAGAATATATATAATTTGATAATTTGTTTTGAAAACATTGAATGTGACTACTTAGTACAACAACGTTTATTTACTAGTTTGGTTATAGAAGGTTATAGAACACAGATTAGGACAGATTAAACTGTGCAAATTATATTCTTAAATCAAATATACACTTATAAAGGCTCCGAGGTGACGTTGGAACCTGAGAAAAGAAAAGAACAGGTAAAAACAACGGAGTTATCCTTCCAAAATTCCAGACTATTAACACACTTTTTTGATAAGTATAGATATCATTTTTACTTTTTATTGTGTTAATGATAATATTCATTTAACTTAATTTGAATTTTTTAAACATGTATTTCCTTACAGCCATGTTTAAGAACTATATATCTGTAGTAAAAAACTACAACTGAAACAAGATGTAATTGACATCATTTCATTCATTCCCGAATGTCTGTTTCTGAGAAATCATAACTGGACCTGTTTATTGCACCACTAGCTGTTGATAGACAAATTTTATAAACAGTTTTAAATCTATTATTATTTGTTTGAATTCATCATTTTAGAATGTTTACAACAACTTTTACTGTATAACTTATTTACATATACAAACAGGAAACAAACAGCACTCCTCTGTTAATATACGGATGTTAAATTAATTAGCGATTAAAATGGAAAAAATTGTTTAACTTCTGGAGAATTGAAATAAAAAGTCTTATTCAATATGTTGTAGAAAGTCTTTTAAGCTGAACTAGCATGTAATGGTAAGCTGTAACTTCAATATATGTAATTAAGAAAAAATGGCATCTTAGCACTAAACAAGCTAAAATTCTTTTCCAATGATAACAACGAAAAGAAAGAATTATGTAACTGAGCAAACACCAGTTTTTACTTTTAATATTTCATGGGTATGAACCATCATAGAAAACGTTTAATTTTTTGACGCTAATTGACCAATACGTTTGTACATCACACACCCAAGCATCAAAGGTCTTGTGTTTCAGTTAACTGTGTATGTAAGTGGCAATGTATTTGTTTGCTTTCATAAAGTCCTGACTGGTATTGAAAAAAACATTTTAGCTTTTAATTCAGAAAATAGTAAAAGTATAGTTTTAGCAACTGTTGGGCTCTGTTTGATCAAGGGAGACCACTCTAAATGGATGAATTATGCCTCTTTATTTCAAAGGCAATATTGCAGTATAATGACTTAAAATCTTCAAACTATGATGTATAATCAGAACATTTGGCCAGGAAAATTATACGAATCTAATATTTTCTTTTTTCTTTATCCTCTTTTGTTTCATTTTTGAAATATTTTTTTTACAAACTGTATTGACTGCTGTTGGGATATGGACACTTATATTCTCAAACAAATACATATTCTTTCAAGACAAAAAAATAAAATAACATAACAGAAAAATAAAAATGCAAAAATTAATTTGAAATCTTTTGTAGAATGCGATGTAAGACTGAGATTCAGAGAAATCAACTTTTCGTGTGATATATGTTTTCTTGGTCATATGGCAGCTCTGTGGTAATGATGGTTCTCTGGGGAGGAATGTTTTGGCGGAAATCTTACCTTTTTTAATTTTTTTCTTGTCGTCCTCTGTCAGTTCTGACTCACTACCAGAGCTTGAGTCACTATCACTGTCACTTCCTGAATTACTGTCAGAGTCTGTAAAAAACACAAATATTGTTTGGGGGAAAAGTTTTTTCTTCTAAACACAGATTCAAACAGAACTGAGAGGGGTAAAGCAAGAACACTGAATTTGTGCAAATAACAATAGAATTGTATGTATAGATAATATTCTACTGTAGAAACAAAACAGGGAAGGCAGAATATGTAAGGTCTGTACACACTCAAATATATACAGGCTTGTTTACTAATACAGGGGCATATTATCAGCCATATATGGGCTTATCATCAGACAAAGACGGGGTTATTATCAGACAAGGGTTGGGTTTATTATCAGACATAAGTGGGGTTATTATCAGACAAATGTGGGGTTATCATCAGACATGGGTGGGGTTATTATCAGACAAATGTGGGGTTATCATCAGACATGGGTGGGCTTATTATCAGAGATGGGTGCGGTTATCATCAGACATGGGTGGGGTAATCATCAGACAAGGGTGGGGTCATCATCAGACAAGGGTGGGGTCATCATCAGACAAGGGTGGGGTCATCATCAGACAAGGGTGGGCTTATCATCAGACAAGGGTGGGGATATCATCAGACATGGGTGGGGTCATCATCAGACATGGGTGGGGTCATCATCAGACAATGGTGGGGTCATCATCAGACAAGGGTGGGCTTATCATCAGACAAGGGTGGGGTCATCATCAGACATGGGTGGGATCATCATCAGACAAGGGTGGGGTCATCATCAGACAAGGGTGGGGTCATCATCAGACAAGGGTGGGCTTATCATCAGACAAGGGTGGGCTTATCATCAGCCAACGGTTAAGTTTACATCAGGCATGGGATGATTATCATTAGATATGGTGGGTTATCAACAGACATGGTTGGGGTTATCATGCATGGGTTGATTAAGGGGTGAATATTTTGTAATTAACAGAGACTATTGGGTACTGGAGGCTGTATCACTGACTTCCATAGCTTAACACATGCATTTCAGTACCAGGGTCGGTGTTTTGGGTTATTGGAGGCCTTATTAGAGTTAGGAGATATTTCTGAGAATGTTTTAAACTTAAATCTCACTCTTTTTAGGAATGTTTTGGTGAGGTCTGACAAAAAAAAACTTTGTAATTATATCACTTGCTAAAATATCTGGAAACTTGTCTATAGTAACCAACTAGAGAGATTTTAAAGAAAAAGACCAAACTTTATACAAATATGTCTTACCATCTTCACTTGGGATAATTTTCTGTACAGATCTCTGTTCGCTTACGACCAGGCTTGGGTTATTTTGGGCTAGTAACCTATACACAGGGAAGGTCTGTTGAATACTTGTCCGTGCACAATACACCTGAACTTCCTGCAGGTGCCACGTCGGTTTCTCTCCACTACAGTCATGCCCGATTTCAATGTCTTTTATAGGACTATAAATTCCGTAAAGTTTCTTGGAAAATTTGTGCCTCTGACCACGTCCAAATTTTCCATTTCTAAGCCAAATTTTTTCACTTGACATGTTATTTGTGCCGTTAATTATAAGATAGACGTTAGCGTCCGTTTCTGCTGAGGGTTTGTCAGATGTTACCGTGGTAATTATAAAGGTCTCATCTAGAATAAAAAAAGTTTTGAAAATTATTCTTAAATCTTTATTATCTTTAAAACCTTTTTTTTTCCAAATTTCAGAAAGTCATTTTGAAAATCTTTTATTATTTTTATATGTTAATTGCTTTCTGATTCAAACCTGAATTTCAAAATATAACTTACTAACTATCCAATCAAAAAGGACCTTGGTTATCCAGAAGACAAAACGTATGTAACATAATTGTAGACAAATAAATACCAAATTGCTGTGAGATGTTCAAACAAAAGGAAATAAAATTTGGTGGCAATACGATACATTAGACCTGCTTAGATGAAACAATCGAAAGATGATAGATTTGACCTAATTTTGGCACGTGTTAGACTTTTTTAGACTTAATGGCAAAAAAAAGGCCAATGCAACCTAATTTAGTGAGATACTTTTAAAGCAAATGAAATTTCGCATTAAGTATGCTCAATCTCCATTAAAATGCATGGTATGGTATAAAAATATTTTGTGTAACTTGAGAAATTTTCATGTTAGTTCCATGATTTTAACATTTCTTGAAATCTTTTTGCACAGAAATTTAATTCTACAATTTTATTACAATAAAATTACATAAAATTTTGATCGAGAAAGGAATCAATGTTCAGGTTATAGATTAACAGTATTTCCTTTCACATTAAAAAAAAGTTTGATAACTCATAAGATATATTTTCTTAAATAAAGAATTAAATACTGCTGACTTTGTAAACTTGCAGCCAATTTTATTTATACATCAGGTGAAGAAGTAAATATAAAAAGGAAGCTAGCGTAGAAAACTTATTCATGATAATGGTAAGTAATACACAGGTCACTGAAACCAGACTGTCATCAACAGGTCGGATATGAGAGTGTACCAGTTTAGTCAGGTAGAAATAAATTAAGATCCCAGTAAGTACCAGGCTTGTCTAGATTTCTAGCGATATACATTTGTTAAGTGGACAAAAGGCTGTCACTATTCTATCGTCTATATAATACCATGCCCGTGAAAAAGGTTGTAGGCTTAAAGACATAACAACAAAGTTGGTTACAATAGACAGGTTACAGATATATATATATATATATGTTAGATATAATGTTAGATAATAAGGGAGTGTAAAATGGAAAATGTTATTGTTCCTACTTATATACAACATTTCTGGAAAGTTTTCTTGAAAAGAAATTTGAAACATTCTGAAGGTGGTCACTATAGACAGGTTACTGATAAATTCTGGTGGTGATTTATATACAGAGGGTATGGATAGTAGGTGACCACTATAGACAGGTTACTGATAATTTCTGAAGATGGTCACTATAGACAGTTTACTGATACATTCTGGTGGTGGTTTATATACAGAGGGTATGGATAGCAGGTGACCACTATAGACAGGTTACTGATAATTTCTGAAGATGGTCACTATAGACAGGTTACTGATATATTCTGGACGTGATTGATATAGAGGGTATGGATAGAAGGTGATTACTATAGACAGGTTGTTGATAATTTCTGAAGATGGTCACTATAGACAGGTTACTGATATATTCTGGACGTGGTCACTATAGACAGGTTACTGATATATTCTGGACGTGGTTGATATAGAGGGTATGGATAGAAGGTGATTACTATAGACAGGTTACTGATATTTTCTGGAGGTGGTTGATATAGAGGGTATGGATAGTAGGTGATTACTATAGACAGGTTGTTGATTTTTTATGGAAGTGGTCACTATAGACAGGTTGTTGATATTTTCTGGAAGTGGTCACTATAGACAGGTTACTGATATATTCTGGACGTGGTTGATATAGAGGGTATGGATAGAAGGTGATTACTATAGACAGGTTACTGATATATTTCCTGGAGGTGGTTGATATAGAGGGTATGGATAGTAGGTGATTACTATAGACAGGTTGTTGATATTTTATGGAAGTGGTCACTATAGACAGGTTGTTGATATTTTCTGGAAGTGGTCACTATAGACAGTTTGATGATTTTTTTTTCTGGAGTATACAGAGGGTTTGGTTAATTAAGGTGATCACTATAGACAGGTAATTCATATCTTTGAGATGATCACTAGAAACTGGATACTGATGTTTTCTAGAGGGGACAGTATAGACAGTTATTGATTTTTTTCTAAATAGATCATTATATATAGGTTATTGATGCTTTCAAGAGATGGTCACTATAGACAGGTGTTTATATGTTTTCTAGAGAGGGTCACTACAGTCAGATTATTCAATATATTTTAGAGAGTGTTGCTTTAGACAGGGTATTCATGCTTTCTAGAGAGAATCACTTATGTTAGGATATCAATATTTTCTACAGGTCACTATACAGAGGTTCTGAACAGCTAGGTGACCCCTATAGAAAGGTTGACTACCTAATTGTTAGTAAAATATAAAAAAAATGTTATAAATGCTATGTGGCTGATATATATCAAAACCTGAAATACAACACTGATAATATTTTTGTTAAAACAAGAAAACAACAATTTATGGGAAAGGCTGGATAATGTTGTTAAAGTATAGATAGAAGTGACTACACACAACTAGGAGGAAACCAAATCACTGCATCTAAGTATTCAATTCATATTATGGATGCAAAGTTCTGTTTTTGTGAATTTTTTTTCACATACTGCCATTTCAACATAAATAAGTGAATAATGTTTTATTTTTTTTTTAATTTCTTCCCCCCCCCCCCCCACCCCGCCCCTACCTCCTCAAATAGATTGATTAAAGTTGTAAGTAAAGTTGAGTTCTACTTTCCCAAATACTACAAATTTTCAAGTGCTTGACAAGTTTTTTTAGATGTCTGTAAAATTTAGGAATTTCAATCATTCTAAATAGCAAATAACTTGTTATAGAACTGTAACCTTGTTGTACCTATTCCTATATAAAGAATGAGAATATTTCCAAACATTTTTATAAATTAGGAAACAAAGGATTACTAGATCACAAACCCTATCCTGAGAACACAGAAAGTTGCTTACCTGGTAAGACAATCAGGTTTGATATTTACAAGCATTTAGGAAATAAGAAAAATAAAAATATATATATATATATATATTTATAAATTTTCTGAAAATCCAGATATGATACACAGATACTGCTACATAAATCACAAGTTAGTAGTTAATTCTATAGATAGAAAAATTATCAAATGGAAGACTATACCATATAAGGCTTTATGACTTACATCAAAATTCACATTAGGGAATACCTTGTGGATTTCTTGTGTTCTATTTTTAGAGTCTGTGTTCCAGTAAATAAATTCAGCACTAAAGACTACACACAGCCACAATCTACTGACCTAATGCTTACAGATAAATCAAGTCCATACCTGAGCTCTTCCTTGGTGCCTCCTTTTTCTCGTTAGTGCTGGACACAGGGGCAGGAGGGGGCGTCGGCACTTTCACCTTCCTTTCCGTGTCCGTCTCCGTCTCCGTTTGTGTTTCAGTTTCACTGCCAGAAGAGCTACTGCTTGATTTTGTTGATGACTTCACATTTTCTGATTTTACTTCTGCAACAGCAGGCGGACTTGAAGGTTTCCTCACTTGTTTCTCTGTATCAGTCTCAGTTTGAGTTCCTGTTTCAGAATCGGATCCCGAGCTGCTACTGCTGCTGGTAACAGGTTTCTTCTCAGAGACTTGTGTGGCTGTTGGTGACGGAGGTTTTTGTGGCTCCGGTACACTACGCTTTGTGTCGGTGTCTGTCTCTGTTTGGGTCTCTGTCTCGCTGTCAGAAGAAGAATCACTAGAACTTGACCTTGGAGTGTCCTTGACCTCTGGTTTGTGTGATGGAGGTTTGACAACACTTGGTGTATCAGCTGTTCTCCCAGTCTCTGTTTCAGTCTCTGTTTCCGTCTGAGTTTCAGTCTCACTGTCTGATGTTTTTGATTCAACCTTAGGTGTACTTTCAACGGCTGGAGTTTCCTTAGTAACCACAGGTGCCTCTGCCTTGACCTGGGATATAGTGGCTGCTTCTGGTCGGGAGACAGTGGTTTCAGTCTCTGTTTCGCTGTCACTTGAGTCGGCACTGGAATCAAAACTAGACCCACTAGTTGCTGAGCGCGGTGTTTCCTGTATACCTTGTTGTTTTCTCTCACTAGTTTGGAAAGGGCGTTCGTAAGAAAACATTTCCGGGATGGGCTCCTCTTTCTGACTTTGGTTTACAAATTTCCTGTCCTCTCTTTGTGTCGTTTCCGATTCAGATTCACTGCTAGAAGAACTTGATGATGCAACGCTGCTTCTTTCTATAATCATCCTTGCTTTTTTATCCTCAGTCTCAGAACGTACATTTGAAATAACAGGTGAGGGCGACTCCTCCCGACGAGGTGGGGTGGGGGATCGCTCAGGGGATTTTGGGGGAGATGATTGGCGTGGAGAAGGAGGGGAGGGTGATCGCCTCTTTGGTGAAGGTGGGGAAGGTGATCGCCTCTTTGGTGAAGGTGATCTCCTTGTTGAAGGGGAAGATGATCTAGATGAGGAAGAGGAGGGAGAGCGTCTTCTTGGTGAAGGTGGGGAGGGTGTCCTTTTCCTCGATGGGGAAGGTGATCGTGAACGTTGTAGAGAAGATGAAACAGGTGTTTCAGGTCGTTCACGAGCTGCTTCTGCTGACTCTTTAGAATAGGCTTGTTGTGTGCCTGCGACAGTGGGTGTCAGAGTTGGATAGGTTGGAGCACGTGATTCGCGCTGGGACTCAACAGAGTGGGACGAAGCAGAAGATTGCGGTCTCTCTGTCGACTCAGTCATCTCCGTCCTTGTATCCACTGAAACAGACAGGGCTATTTCTTTCTTTGTCTCATGACGAGATTCTGATGAAGATGAGGAAGAACTGCTGAAAATAGGTCAAAGGTCAAATCAAAATCCTTGCGATATCATTTATCAAGAATAATGCAGAACTCAGGAGTTGTACACCTATGATACAAAGATTGAAAATTACCAAAACCTTTCTGATGAGAACGAAATTCTGACAACTGACAGTAACTTTTTCGTTAAAAGATTAACACAATTTTTCACGCAAAAATATATTTCTTACTCAAGTGACATACCTGCTCGAACTGCTTCGGCGCATTCGGTAATCTGTGGAAATAAAGATTGATAAATTTGTCTGTCATTTTTAAACAAAACTGTTATTTACAAATAGCATTTTAATTCTATAAAATCACAAAGTAAATTTTTTTTTATAAAAAATTTTTTTTTCATCGTTATTTTTCTTTTCTGTATTACATATTTTTCAGCATTTAGTTCATTTTTGCTGTGGATGTAGAAAAACCATTTTATCACAAAACAGACAAAAAGTAAATAAAACCAATGTTCCTTTAAACCTATGATACACTTTAGATATGTGTAAACTGATGCTGTTGAAGATTCAATGTGAAAACTGTAAAGATTGACAGAATTAATCATACCATCTGTTTTTATACATGTCTTGTCGGAATTATTCTGAAGTCATTTTAAAAAGTTAGATAAATAATTTATGATAAATAATGACAGAAAAATGTTTCTGTTTAAAAGATGTTCTTGTTGATCAGTTCTAAATGTCACTATTGAATATTAAACCATGCATATATTGAACATTTCAGACAGAAATGTTTTATTCAATTTTGAAATACAAGTTCATGATTAGCATTAAAAATCTAGATTATGTCTGATTTGCAATATATTAAAAAAATTTTTCTTATTTTTTTTCCCTGTTTGTTGTTTGAAAAGACACTCATTAAGATAAACAACACAAGAAGACAAAAAACAGTGAAATAAAATATACATCCAAGTTGAACAAGAATAGATAGAGGCACAAGTTGATGGTTTAAAACATCAGTATGTACACAGTGGCTTTGTGAAAATATAAGTCACAGACAAAACCAGCACTACAATTTAACAAAACAGTACATTGTAAGCAAGCAAGTGTCAAATTTAGAACTCTGAGCTGTTCATAAACTCAAATGAAAAAAATTTCCCAGTGCAGATGATCTTAAATTTTTTTTTTACGGGAAATATTTCAAAAGAGGCCATCTTCTGCCAGGAAGCACAAGTTAATATCAAAACATTTGAAGCAAGTTTTAAATATTTTGATTAATTTGGGTCAAGTTAACTATTTATGCTCTTTTCATGATTGGAAGTTTTATTTAAAATCTTTAAAAGTGGATAATTATGATAGACTGAGCATGATTGTATGTATGTAGAACTAATTAGCATAATGCCTACATTGCTATCTGTCACTTCCCCAGCACTCTTTCAGACAAATATTTCAAAATTCACTAAAACAGATTTCAAATTGACTTGTGATTTTCTTTTGATAATTATTTAACACTTTTCTAATCCATTAGTATATGTTTATCATTATTGATAGATAGAAATCTTTAAATATGACATTTTTGTAATATTTTACAGAAATTTCTATAAATTGAAAGATTTTTCTATCACTCGAAGAATCAATCTTCAAAGTGGTCAATCTCATCAGTTAAATTATAAAGTATGAATTGTATTTTTGAACATTCTACAAAATAAGTCTCTTGCTTGACCCTCCCTGACAGGCAGTGTATTTTTGAAAATATTTTAAGTTTTCACTAATAAGATAATCAAGAAATTTCTCAAAAACTTTTTGAGAGCAGCCTTTCATGTTAATTCTATTCAAATGTGTGCAGCGTTTTGTAAACAAGAGGGTGAAAAACCTATTGAAGTGAATTTCCTGTAGAAATCTGCATAAGGAAGGGGAATAACTCCAGTAAATCCATAACAGGGACATAACTCTATCCTCACCATCTTCATTCACGTTCCTCCTCACAGATCGCTGCTCTGTCACAGAAACACTTGGTTTTTCGTGTGTCAGAAGTTTATAGACGGGGAATGTTTGCTTGATTCCTGTTCTGGGGCAGTACACATACACTTCCTGTAAGTTCCAGGTCTGATTGGAACCTCCACTACAGTCATGACCGATCTCGATGTCCTTCACTGGGCTCTGGATGTCTGCAACCTTCTCTGTGAATACGTCCGACTTTCCTCTGCGGAACTTGCCCTTCTTTAGCCAGATTTTTCCTGTGGACTTGTCGTTCGTCCCGTTTAGAATGATGAAAACTTTAGCGTCAGTTCCGGCTAATGGTTTATCTGCTGTGTTAGTCGTAATGACTAGGGTCTCCACTAATGATAAAACAGAAAATCAAACTCCTGTGACAAATCCTTCACAAATGATGTTTGAAAGCTCTGTCTCATTACCATCACTTTCATAACCTATTATACATGTATCATTACTGTATATTTTCAATAATAAGCCCATGCCTTGTAATAAGCCCACCTATAAATTTTGCTCTAATGTAAAATTTAAACTATTGCTATTTTCATCATCCTGTATTAAGCCACATGAGAAAGTATGTTCCCTTTGTGTCTGAAGAATAAATAATTGCATTACATTTAGTCTAAAAGCTGTGGTATTGACTATCAAAAAAATTGTTTTTTTGATAATTTTGCTTACAATGTGTGATATTGGGTAAAATATTTATGATAAAACAGTCCTGTATATAAGACATGGTGCATTTTTCAGCTCCCAAAATATTGCTATGTTTGCACGAGTTAAGAATATAAGCTGATGTACATATACTCAATGTTAATTCACCAAATTTGAATTACCCTTTTTCAAATCTGTTAAAGGTATATTGATTTTTTCTTATTTTCCTTCTTAATTCTGACCCCTTCATCACTGAAGAGCCATAAAAGGACAAAACAGCTGTATGACGAAATTTCATTCATCACTTGGGATAAATTGTCTCCACATAATCGTACTGTCCTTCCCATGTGTGTATTTTGTACACTCTTTGGATAAGAGATTTCAACAGAGCGAGACACTGAATGAGGCAGAAGTCAGTACTCACATTTTCTCTCCCTAGGTCACTATATATATATCAAACATGGTCTATCCTCATCACAAGTTTTTTCTATTTTGGTCTGTTTTTTTCAGAAAGCAAAATATCCAGAAAGACAAAGTGTACACACATATTTCAGTTACATATAATTAAAAGTGTGCTTTCTGATCTTTCTTTTCAGGAAACAAAATATACAGAGACAAAAGTGCACACATATTTCATGTAAAAACAATCTAGTGTTCACAGTAAGAAAATTCAAGTACATGTGTACATTCATATTTACCAGTCTACAAAATACTAACATCTGTTAACACAGACAATATAAAGATCACGATATCAAAACAGCACAAATCTGAAGCGACAAAAACCAGAAATACTGGTTACCATGACAACATTCATGTTACTATATGATAATATACTTGTTGCTATGGTGATATACTAGTTGCTGTGGTAACATACTTACTTGTACTGGAGTTGTCATCTTTATTCTGACTGTAAGAGGTTTTCTTAACTGCTACCTCTCCTTCACTGTCTGAGGAAAAAGCCTCAATCTGGAATTAAGAACAGTTATAAACTGTATACATTACGTCAGGCTCAAATACCATGAGGGTAGACTATTTCAGAAGGTGTATTAACACAAGCACTATTTCCTAGTTGTTGGGGATCAATATCTAAACTTTTCAAGATTTACACAGTATTTTGATAGATGTAGACGTTTAAAATCTAACTGTAAGTAAATGCTAAACAACAACTGCCATTTCTTACCATCTCTATAAGTTCACAATCAGTTAATGTATTATGAAATGACAAGTTTCAAAGTAAAAGAATTGATAGACAAAACTGTCCCTCAACATTTGATAAAATCATTAAAATTTCAGTGTATCTTGATATTGAGATGTCGTTGTGGCAGTTTACCTTTCGTCTGTGATCAAGTCCAGTTTTGGGTCTAGACTTTCTGTCACGAGGTGTGTCATCTTTTTCATCATCAAACCCTGTGATGGTCGTTGATTTCGTCTTTGGAGGTGGAGCCTCGTCTTCAGATGAAGATGATGATGACGATGAAGATGATTCAAAGCGATCTTCTTCATATCCTATAATTTCAATAAAGTTTAAAAGGAATTATAAACAGTAATTACATTTGTAAAATTAAATCTTTTTTCTTTTTTTTTCACCATAATCTTTTTTTTACTTCAAACTAAGCTGAGCAACAGCCATACTGACCGTGACCTTTGACAAATCACTTCCTAGGTTATAAAATTTTTTCCTGCTTTCTAGGGCGACCAACATACGGAATGAAATTTTGAACTTTGTACTTAAACAAGATTGTACAAAAGACACACAAGTGAATAGCACCATTAGATAATTTAGAGTAAAATACAGTAGAGCCAAAAAATGAATTAAACTGCATCATACAGCTGTTCCGTCACTCTAGGACTCGTCAGTGATGCTAATGGCCTACATTTTGAAGCTTAGGAGGTGACTAAGGAAAATCTAAAGTGCTCATTCCATATTTAGTTAATAACATGGGTCTTTTATGACCCATGCTAAGAACAAACAGGGATTTTGTTTTTCTAAAATGGCACTTGAAAAAAAAATGGAATTTCATGTTGTCTTTTATTGCATGAAAATGACATTTTGATCATGGCATTCTATTTTTAGTAACCTTTGCTAGATCATGCTCCAAACCAACAAGTGTTGTCTGAAGGATAGATTATATCCTGTTTGATTCTAGAGTACTGATTTCTTTCAGAGTAATTATTCAGACAAGGAATGTAGACAGATGGACAGAAGGACTGATATTCAAGATGATTGGTTTACATATCTTTCTCCCAGAGTAAAATAACGAAAAGAAAACTTCATCCATCTTATTAATATATTTATCTAAAATTCATCATGTTGTCCAAGATTAATTATTTTATCTATTTATCAATTTATTTTTGTTTAATTTTTCTGCTGACTTAAATAGATCTATATACACATGGATTTGGATTTAGAACTGTGACTGATTCAATAAACAGAATGGCTGTTCTGTTTACAGTACTTACCATACAAAGGTCAGGCTGTTATGACAGTTAATCACACTCCCTTCTCACCATTAAGAACACATTTTATCACATACGATTCACCCAAGTCTTCCACACCATCCACTCTAACAAACCCAACGACTATTGTTCAACCAACTAATCACTAATTAAGTTTTTTTTAAACTCCTGCAATTTCTTCTCCTAAAATGAAAATTTAGCTTAAAAAAAGCAAAAACAAAAAAAAAAAAACAAAAAAAACAACCGAATAAAATCAACAACATTTTCTTCCAGCTTTCATTTTTTCGTTCTGTTTGGATGTCCGTATAACATTCTATGTAAGGCTGATATTCCAACATGACAAAAAACCTTCATATTATTTTTCTCAAAACATTTTGTAGAATAAGATTGGTTTTGATTTTGAATTTCAAATAATACTAAACAGGTGACAACCTTGATAACTAAATTTTAAAAAGTTTGATATTAATCAAGTGCACTTTTTGATAAATTATGATACCAAAAATACTTTTAAGAATATTTTTAATATTTGAAATTATTTATGAAAGAAAAATGACCATCAACATTGTAAGTCGTGTAAGTGATGAGATGTAATTATTTTGAAAAAACTTGAATATGAATAAGTTTTTTGCTTTACTTTCTCCTACAGAGAAGTGGCACACAAAGTTATTCAAGGAAAGACAACTCACAGACTAAATTATTATTAGCTTTAAGAAAACTTTAATTGGCTAAATTTCGGCAAGCACAAAATCACAAGGCATTTATCATACAGATTAAATATTGCATTGAATTGAAGAATAAAACATCATATGTAAAGCTATGGATACAAACAACATCATGTATTTCAATATTTTTCAGATAAATAAAGAACCAATAATTCTAATCATGGAAGGGGAGACAACTATGTTTTATTAAACAAAAAATGTTTTAGGCAAAAATAAAAAATAAAATGATAAAAGATAACAAAATTACCCTCAAAACTTGACAGTTTCCTTAAAATTATTATATTATTTCAAAATAAAAACTTTTTTTTTTCGATATGATTGAAAAAAAATTACAAAGTTGTGTTACATACATAATTACACATGCAATTCAAAATGTTCAAAAATATATCAGGTATAAAAATTATATATTGTGGCAGCACCTTTCTCAGAGTTTTACCCTAATTACATTCACACTCATGTAATTTGTCTTTATTTCAAATCTGTACAAGAAAGGATATTTCTAACTTAGAAATTATGCACTAGAGATCAATGAGATAAATTGACTGATCAGAATATGTATATATGTTACTACCAAATTAACAAAAGAAAATCCTCTACGGTATTCATTTTTAAATGTACAGAATTATCTTGAAAATTATTAAATATTTTCAAAAGTATAAAATATTCACAATAATAATAAATTCATAGCCACTGTCATGTTTCATTTCATTTTCATTTTTTTTCTTTTTCAGTTTTGAACATGGTAAAAAAACTAGTGAGAACTTTCTTTTGTGAATTTGTTTAATTAAAAAATGTTTAAACCATTTGGTTTAAATAGAATTACAATATAGTTACAAAAATAGCAATGGCAAAAATATGGCAACAACAAGAAAGATCAAAAATCAAGAAATACAACTATAAAGGTGGGTTTTTATTTAGTTCAAATTTTTGCTATTTTTATCAAAAGTTTGAGGTAAAAAAATGTACTTTTTAAGAAATAGATATTTTATCAGCTAAATAAAAATAAAATGGATATTTGTTTACATTTATACTCTTTCCTCAAATAGAAGAGAAAAAGAACTTCATAAATATGAAAACTTGTAAAATATTTATCAACAATAAATATGATTTAGGATAAGAAAGCTGCTGATAAATCAAATATAGGACAACATTGCCTCATATCTAGAAGCTCATAACATAAATAGGTCAAGGTTATTTGAAGTTAAAAAGCTAATAACATACATAGGTCAAGGTTATCTAAAGATAAAAATCTAATAACATATACAGGTCAAGGTTATCTAAAGATAAAAACCTGATAACATATATAGGTCAAGGTTATCTAAAGATAAAAAGCTAATAACATACATAGGTCAAGGTTATCTGAAAGTTAAAAACCTAATTACATACATAAGTCAATGCAATCAGATGTTTAAAGCTAATGATATATAAAAAAAAATGTAAAGACGACATGATGTGAAAAATTTTTTGATCATAAATAGATCAACATTATATGGACAGTTTCACAAATGTCCTTTAACTTCTTGGAAATTCCTTAAGACAGTTTCACAAATGTCTTTTAACTTCTTGGAAATTCGGTAAGATTCTTAAAAAGATATCTCAACTAAATCTAAAGTTCATGAAAAATTTTGCTATCAAATTTCAATGGAATAAATAATGGAATTTTTAGATTTAAGGGACAGATATGAAACTCGGTCCTGCTGTTAATTAGCTAGGGTTACAGTACTCAAATCAACTTGTTCTACAATCACAAGTCGGGGCAAAAGTGTTGAGCTTTTTCATCATTATTGAGCAAGTGTGAAAGATCTGGAGTAAAAATAGATCAATATTACCATTGTATATGGTTAATTTTCAGACAATTGATCAAAGAAAATTCAGATCAAATAAAATTTCAATTTCTGAAATTTTCTGTTAAAACAAGTACATTTAATTGTACACAATACAGACTTGACCTGTCATAATTTCTTGTCACTAATAGCAAATTATTTCTGTATGCAGATTACTCTTAAATGAGAAATCAAAATTGATCCAAATTTTGTCTGTTTTTCAACTAATGATTGACTCAATTCTGTAGTAACTTATTCTACATCCTAACATTAATTTTAATTTAATTTATGTAACTAAAGTTTTTATTTTCAATGAATCACATACACACACATATATACGAAGCAGAAGTTCTGAAAGGATTGGAAAAAGATGAGTCTGAAGAAAAGACATCGAACACAGGCAATGTAAAGTTTGGAAGGTGAGAACAAGTTTAAAGTGGTATTTGGAGATATAAAATACAGACAAGTCTGGACCCAGGAAAATGAAAAACACCAATTATTAGGTGGATAAGTTTAAGTTTGGACAGTGAGTGTGTTAAAGTTGTCCATGATAGGTGATGTAAAATTGTTTCCGAGGCTTGAAGGTGACAGCTGAAACAAATAAATCAATAGACACATTGACTAGGTGTTTTCAAATGAAGCAAGAAAGAGAAAGGAAAAACAGAGATTGTTTACAGCTGATACTTCATCAACATGTATAAACGACTACAAATTTCCAAATTGAGGCTATCATGATTCACATTTTTCAAAACAAGCTGATGGAGTGTAGTCTGACACTGAAAGAACATTGACATCAATTCTTATACTTTATATGTTAAAATATTTGTAGTTTATTCAAAATGCCAGTGAAAATATAATAATCACTTCTTGGCCATTATTTCAACCAAGAATCATCAAAATGAAAGAGATTTCTTTTTTAAAAAATGATTTTCTTAAGAGTAAATATCTCAACTACAAAATTACAACAGATTTGTTGTATTGTTTAACATGCTACCATCCTTTTATTGAACAAGGGAGACAACCACAACACAGGGGAGATAATCATCAGGCATAAATGTTATCAACTGTTTTTTTAACGGATTCTGTTGAAACTTCTTTAAATGAACTGATGTTCACATATGTCAAAATAAGTCTCACAAAAGAGTTGAAGAGTTCTGTTTGATCTCTCTCATTCAGTAAATTGATGGTATTACATGTAAGTTTTACAAAATGTTGTACGAAACATATAAAATTAATACTTACAGGTGCATTGCACATGCATTACATGTGCTGAACATGTGCTTTTATCAACCTGCACATGCTGTGAATATATACATTGTTTGTGTGAAAAAATAGAAATCAGCATTACAAAAATAGGACATATTCAAATATCATTATACAACAATGGTGTATTTGTTGTCACCTAATGACTACACAAAATCATATTTTATACAAGATTTATAAAACAAGTTAAGAAATATATTTTGTTCTTTAAAACAAGCATTTATTGAAAAAAAATGAAAAA